AGAAGAAAATTATCGAATAAAAAGTGTACATCAAACTTGCTGCATGCTTGCAACAAACTTGCTTTGTTGTTGTTCTATTGCTATAGATATAGATTGTTTTACAAGCAAGAGTTTTACAGATGTGGTTTATTCATTCGAAATTGTTTATCCATTTAAGAGCAAACAAAAGCATCCCTTATCTTGGTTGTATTTCCTGAACCACTTTTCGAAGCATCTCTCAAGTTTCAAGAATTAATCACAGACTATTTTTCTATCGCAACATCTTACACTGACAGACTTATAAAATACTCTTACTATAAAATGTTCGTTTATTCTTTATTCCCTGTTTTTGCGAAATAAAATGTTTAAAGTCACGATAGCTCAAGTGGTTAGAGCAGCGGCCTATTGAGCCGAAGGTCGTGGTTTCGAATCCCGCTCATGATGGGCTTTTTCGTCACAACCAAGACCTTAAGTAAAAAGAATAATTAAATGCAATAATTAATATGGACAATTATGATCGCTAAACATGTATGGTTTAAAAAATGAAAAATCTTCATCTTTAGCCTTTACATCGATTTGTATGGATTTTATCATAGTTTGCTGCTATGCTATGCCCTTTTTTCGTAAAATCGAACCTGTCAACACAACAGTAGCTTATTGTCCTTAAAAACAATTTATTTTAGCAGTAAATGAATGAATGTTATTAACCCCTAAAAATTAAAAGGAAAAGTTCAAGCAGTTGTATTATTATATCAGTATTCATTCATAAAAGTATTATCAATCAGACAACATGGACGGAAACGGTGAAACTATCTGGAGTAGAATGTTATAAAGGCGCTCGTATTTGTCATTCATAAATATTTTGTTTTTCATTTCTGTACGTAGCATTACCACATAACTAATAGGGCAACTTACTAGTAAAGATAAAATGTAATGATCCTTTTAGACGATTCATCTTGTTAGAAATTTCTCAATTTACTGACAACCGACGTACCTTATCCTATCTAACCGACCGCGGCTTCAGAGCGAGGTGGGCAACGAGTTCGCGGAAGTCAGACAGATCCGAGCCGGCGTCACACAAGGAAGCATTCTTGGTCCCATCCAGTTTATCATTTATATTGCTGTCCAACCTACACACCCTACTACCATCATCACCACATACGCGGGCGATATCGCAATTTTGCCCTCTGAATCGAATCCTATCCCAAGCTACGTCCAACATCCAAGAACAGCTTGAGCTTATCGAAACTGGTACAAGACAGAACGAAGAAAAATATACTCAGTGTAAGTTCTCAGCGAAAAAACAGTTTTACCATACACTGTAAATTAACAATAAAGAGAGACTGACTTCCATTCAAGTCAAATACTTCTATACCTAGATAGCAGACTGACGTGGAATCCCCACACAAGACTTAAGTTGTATTTTAAAATTCCAATTTCATCAGAAGAATTGGGCAACTAGGAAGACTTTAGGACCGAAATCTGACGACGGTCAAAACTAAACTAACCTTATACTTTACTGCGACCACTTTAGACATATGGAGTGGAACTGTGGGTTCTGCCAAGCCATCCAACTCCAGCGCATCCAATCCTTTCAATCAGAAGTCCTTAGACAAATTGTTAAAACTGCATTATACGCCACTAACCTCACTATCCTCAACCTTCCTCTTGTCAACGAAGTGATCCAAAAGTCAAATCCAACTCTAACCCTCGAGCCATCTACACATTTCAATCCCGAGGACCCGCCACGTGGCCTTAATCGACGATGTCCTCAAGACCTCCTTACCCCTTAATTCCTCACACTAGTGCCAGCATTGACTGTTTCTGATGGCATGTGTCCTCCGGTTGCATCGCCAGCATTAGCATTAGTGCTGAGACCATGCGAAATAAATTAACAAAATTTTCATTCATAGAAATGATAAATGAGTGAGTGTGGTGTCCAATCCTTCTCAAAAAGATAGTTCACTTTTGGCAATTCATGTCGAGAGTCGTGGTTGTAGAAGTCCTTCAACCTGATGATGAGCTAAAAGGCTCGAAATCCGGATTCTTTGCAAAACAACTTACTGTGAGTAGGAACTATCTTTTTGAGAAGGATTGAAAATTTTCATTCATTCCGATGGATGAGCAACATCGCTGTTCTGTTCTACTTGTGACTAGTAGCTTAAATTATTCAGTACTTAATACATTTAGTGCTGTCGCCCTGCGGTTCATAATTCGAACTTATATTTACTTTTCAACTCTGGCATATATTTAATATTTAACAATTTATGGTTCGTTCAAAAGTGAAAGTGTGACTGTGATGGCAAAAATTTCGTAATATGCAAATGTAGCATGATGTACTTTATATACTCCCTTTGGAAGATTCAAATTTATTATACGTATGAATGTTTTAATTGTAGTTTTTATAGCCTCAACGGTGGTGCAATCGCCGGAAGTTAAATTCCTAGGTTTTTTTGTGAGTGAATTATAGTTTTAGTTAGGGTCGTCTCCGAGCATCTCGTTCTGTTAGGTATCTAGGTTTGATTCGCATTTTCAGATTTAAACTTCTCCACTGTTCTTTTTACCTCATTTGTATATTAAAATTGATTGACTACTACTGGAGACGGCGAAAGGTCAGCGAGGATAGGCTGACTAAATGATCGGAAACGACCAAACTGCATGAAACCGATATGCTTCTGTTAGTTGTTACCTTTCCTTCCCATTATTAATTTAACAAAAGATTTTAGTATTTATTGAACAGAAAAGATTTATTTGACATTACTAAAATACACTGCAACTGGCATCGTTGGCCCTTTGTTTCGAGTGCGAAATTGTTGTAAAACGTGTTTTATCTTGAATAGATTATAAATATTCTAGAATGTCACATCCATGGTACAACTAAAAAAAATCGTTTTGGAACAGGCTGTTTTCCCTATTCAGGCGTCTTTTCTACTTTCTTCCCGAATATGGAGATTTTTATAATTCGCCTCAACTTTCTAATGTAGGATGATGGCGGGGACTGTGCACTCGCGATGGAGGGAATGGGCTTTAAAGCCGCCGTGATGCCCGACTTTAAAGGTCTCGAGGTTTATGTGGCCCATTATTGCTGGGGGCCGTCCAGGGTTTTATTGATCGGGTTCGGGCCCGCCGCCTCACCGTCTCCAGCCGCCCCCAGCTGTGCTAGAACACCTGCAGAGCTTTTACCTCCTCTATGTCCACACTTGACAGCATCACCTCGTCGCTTTCTTGCTGTTTCTATCCTTTCCCACCTGGGACTTTTTTTTTCTTGAGGATTTTAAACGTGAAGCTCGTTTCTAAAATGGAGGAGGATTCACAATAAATAGAAAATAACCAGCTTAACATTAAGGGTTGATACACTCCTAGTAGATGCACTTGAGATTAAAAAAAGGGAAAAGTTTAAACAATTTTAAATGTCATAAAATATATTTGAATGGTGTATTAAATAAAAAATTTCAATTTTCCATCAGCAAGATTTAAACTTACCTGATGTATTTGCTGAATTGACCCTGACCCCCCTCAGGTACTTATGTCATAAGTTGCCTTTCATTTAAAGCTTGTTACGATATATTTTGTTTAAATATGCAAAATGATAGGATTTTTGGTTAGAACATTCGATTTTGAATGCCAGATTGTGGACTTCTAATTTTTTCCATCATGAATATAATAAACAAATTTGCATGAAATTTAAGCTACATAATATAATTGGGCATTATTATACAAATTGAGCTGTAGTTAAAGAAAAAAACCTAAGTCTAAAATCCTACAAATTTAATGCTTATGTCCCTATGAGCTAAAGTAAAAGATTTATTTTCTGCATTGTCATTCATGCATTCCATATTGGTTTAATAATTGAAGATCAGATAGCTTAGTGGTGGCTTGAAGAGTATGGATTTATTCTATTAATATGTAGGTCAAGCCCCTAGAAGGACAATTGATCGTATCATACATCTTAACACTAACCTCGTAAATAGTGAACTCAGTTTATGAAAGAGAACATCCACTAAGATTTTACATTTTCGATACAAACAGAAATGTTCTAGTTTGGTCGTTTGTGATCATCCTTGTCTGTCTATCCTCGGCGTCTTACCTTTCACGTTCAGTAACGTATAAAAGGACTCGTCTAAATCACTTATGGGGAAATGCATCTTTTAGATCAAAAAGCGCAAGTGAATAAAAGTGCACATTAATCATTACATCATTTATTAAATCTACCTTTAATATGATCAGTACATAATAACAATAGTATGAAGCATTCCTAAGAAGTACGACCTTTTTTCTATGGATAAAATCACCTAGGTTTTAGCCAGTTGATAGTTATTATTGACTTGACTCAGCACTTTTCGTGGCTTTTGTCAGTCAGTCGAAACCAATTATTTCTGGGAGCAAGAATATTTGTTGCCTTACTACAATATAAATACATTTTGATTAATGAAGTATGTTGTTTTGTGTGTTCAAAGTCGCAAAGAAAAATGAAAAGTGCATAAGAAACCTAATGAGTTGATGAAGAAATGGTGTGAGCTTTCTAATTTTATTTTTAGATTGCCTGTGAATAAATTGCTTCTTATTCCATTCCATACCCAAGTTGAAAATCATAATGGTTTTCCCTTCATGTGTTAAACCAATTCATGGCTTAAAAAAAAGCAAATTAAATATTTTTGATAAATATTCGATTTGATATCGTAATTTATGTAATAAATGACATTCTTTTCTCTTTTTGATAATTTTATAAATCATTAATTTGGTATGGTTTAATTGCTAGATGTCTTTTTCTGTGCCCTGTTTCAGATTGCATTCTTTACTCTCTGGTGTATTTTGTCACCTTACTGGGCTTTTCTTTCTTTCATAGCCTCTAAAACGTTTAAAATAACTATATTGCGTAAACATAGTAAGTGAAAACTTATAGGGCAGGGCTACCTCCAGACTATACTAAATGTGCTATTTATAATACTGTATTCCAGCCTAGTCTAGTTTAAAGGCTTGTGTTATTTTTAGTTTTAATTATGTATAAAGAGTCCTTCTGATATCTCTGATATTTTTCAGATGACTACCGATATCTCAGTTTCCCGTTGGGACCCTGCAGTTCCTGAAATAGTCGATGATTATGAATACGATGGAGGAAACTCATCTTCCAGACTTTTTGAAAGAAGTAGAATTAAAGCTCTTGCCGGTGAGTATTTGTGATTGTATGTATTCTTAAACAAGTTTTAATGTAATGTTTTGTTCATTTCAAGATGAAAGAGAGAGTGTTCAGAAGAAAACGTTCCAAAAATGGGTGAATTCACACCTAGTGCGTGTGCACTGCAGAATATCTGACCTCTACCTGGATTTGAGAGATGGAAAAATGCTAATTCAGCTGTTAGAGGTCCTATCGGGTGATAAACTGGTAAGGCTACAGTTTCAATTAAGTGACTTTTATGAAAATTGAGTCTCCTCTTTTTAAAGAATCAGGATGAAATGATATAAATTTTGCGATTGCATTCATAACTACTGGGAGATGACCAAAGCTATATATGAATTTATGAAGGAATTTTTACAATTAGTAAAACTGATAAAATCTTGTACTAAGAAGTGCTTTTATATTTAAACTATCTTTTGAGTGTCGAAATAGTGGTCAGATATTAAATTCAAACACACTTTGAAGGTGGTTCCAGACAGCGGGATTCACCAAATGCTGAGCAGTAGTAACTCAGTGCTCACCTTGCTCGACTAATTGTTGGTTTTCTTGTCCTCTTAAAAGTGCACAAATATTCGTAAAGTAGCCGAACACAAAGCATCCACATATTTTAAAATCAACTGTACCAAAATTAATTGTGGCTCTTAGAGTTCCTCGATCCTAGCTGAACCAATAATTTAGAATGTTTCTTTTCCAAAACACAAAAATTGTAACGAGGTTTTCGATGCGTGGAAACAGCTCGAAAGTAAGTAAGATGGGCAACAGTTCTCTGTGAATGTTTTTTGTGACTGAGCTCGTAACCACTACCCAAAACAGTAACTGCAGCTGCAGCCATGACAGTGTTGTCCATCACGATTGGTATTACGTTGAAGACTCACATGGCACTTAGCAAATACATGTTCGCTGTTTCTGCACAAACTGGGTGGTTATACAAACCCCGTATGTATACACATAGGCACACGATTTGGCAAATGCTAAGATGCGTATCTCGACACTTGGCAAATATTCAGCGGTAATCGGCATTTGATAATACCGCATGTCTGGAGCCACTTTAAGTACACAACAGGAATTTAATAACGTTATAAATTCTTATGTAGCTTTAACTATATAATATATTATGGTAATAAAACATTGTTTAAATATAATCGCATTAGATGTTAATTAATGTTAATGTTAAGATAGCTATCTTTGGAAGGTGTAATGAATCCATCTTTCATCAAAAAATTATCAATGATGTAGGCCTCACTTATTAAGAATATAAATTACAATTACTGACTTTTTTTTTTTTTATAGCCAAGGCCTACTAAAGGCAAAATGAGAATTCACTGCCTAGAAAACGTAGACAAAGCTCTACAATTCTTAAAAGATCAAAAAGTCCATCTAGAAAATATGGGATCTCATGACATCGTAGATGGCAATGCTAGACTTAGCCTTGGACTGATCTGGACAATCATTCTAAGATTTCAGGTACTCTTAAAAAATTTTTTAAAAAATTATTTGTTTTATTAACTGGTTTCCTCTTATTAAAGATACAAGACATCACAATTGAAGAGACCCCAAATAAAGAGACAAAATCTGCCAAAGATGCTCTTCTCCTCTGGTGCCAGATGAAGACAGCAGGTTATCACAATGTTAACGTCAGGAATTTCAGCACGTCATGGCGTGACGGCCTCGCTTTCAATGCTATCATCCATAAGCATAGACCCGATCTTGTGCAATTTGAGAAGCTGTCAAGGTCCAATGCGATATACAACCTTAATAATGCATTCACTGTAGCCGAAGACAAGTTAGGCCTTACCAAACTACTTGACCCTGAAGGTAATTTCATTTTATTTAAAAATTTAAATTTAAGACTGACAAAACTGTTCTTTTCCCAGATGTTTATGTTGACCAGCCTGATGAAAAATCAATTATCACATACGTTGTGACTTATTACCACTTCTTCTCCAAGATGAAGCAAGAAACGGTCCACGGCAAGAGGATAGGAAAGGTAGTCAGCATCGCAATGGATAATGATCAGAAGATTCATGAATATGAAAGGCTTACCAGTGACTTGCTCAAATGGATCGAATCAACGATCGTCCAGCTTGGGGATAGAAGGTAATAACGACTAACCAGCATTTCTGATATAGGTGACAATATTCCCTGTACTTTTCTAGGTTTGCCAACTCGCTGACTGGAGTACAACAGCAACTGGCTCAATTCAACAATTACAGGACTTGTGAGAAACCACCAAAGTAATAAATTTTTACATCATATACACTACATTAGTTCACTTTATAGGTTTAATCGTTTTACATAAATAATTGCTTTGTAGATTTGTTGAGAAAGGTAATTTGGAAGTTCTTTTATTCACCCTTCAATCCAAGATGAGGGCGAACAACCAAAAACCATATATGCCCAAAGAAGGAAGCATGATTTCTGATATAAACAAGGCTTGGGAACGTCTTGAAAAAGCTGAGCATGAAAAGTAAGTGTAGTATTATCATAATATAAAATTTAAAAAAATTATTATATTTACACAAAATGTTTTATATTTTTCTCAGAGAGTTAGCATTACGTGAGGAATTGATAAGGCAGGAGAAACTCGAGCAACTCGCTGCACGATTTAACAGGAAGGCGAGCATGAGGGAAACTTGGCTTTCTGAAAATCAGAGGCTTGTTTCTCAAGACAACTTTGGTTTTGACCTAGCCGCAGTTGAAGCAGCTGCTAAGAAACATGAAGCGATAGAAACTGATATTTTTGCCTATGAAGAACGTGTGCAAGCAGTTGTTACCGTGAGTCAAGAGCTTGAGGCTGAAAACTACCACGACATCGAGAAGATCAATGCTAGAAAAAAAAATGTCTTGCGATTGTGGAACTATCTTTTGGAATTACTGCGTTCACGTAGGATGCGTCTTGATCTTTCATTGCGCCTACAACAAAACTTCCAAGAGATGGTCTACATCCTGGATTCGACAGAAGAGCTCAAACTCAGGCTTCTGTCTGACGACTACGGTAAACATCTTATGGGTGTTGAAGATCTACTTCAGAAGCACAGCCTTGTCGAGGCTGACATCAACGTCCTTGGCGAAAGAGTCAAAGTTGTTGTTCAACAATCTCAGAAATTTAATGAGGATGAGGCCATGGAAGGATATAGGCCTTGTGATTCGGCAGCTATAATCGAAGAAAGGATACAGCAACTCGAAGAAAATTATCTCGAGCTAGTAAAACTTGCAGTTGATAGAAGATTGAGACTCGAAGAAAGTAAAAAATTGTGGCAGTTTTATTGGGACATGGCCGATGAAGAAAATTGGATTAAAGAGAAGGAACAGATTGTATCGCAGGGTGATATTGGTCATGATTTGATCACAATAAATCTTCTTCTCTCTAAACACAAGGCACTTGAAAATGAGATAGCATCTCATGAACCACAACTTGTATCAGTAGTCTCGGTGGGTGAAGAATTAGTCCGTCAAGAACATTTCGGCGCAGATCGCATTCAACAAAGATTAAATGATACCTTAGATATGTGGCGCCATTTACAAGATCTTGTCGCATACAGAAAAAAGAGGCTAACAGAGGCTGTTGACTTCCACCAATTCTTTGCAGATGCCGACGACGTCGACATCTGGATGTTAGATACGTTAAGACTCGTCTCTTCAGAAGATGTCGGAAGGGACGAAGCAAATGTTCAATCTTTATTGAAGAAACACAAAGAGGCTACTGAAGAGTTGAAAAATTATTCATCGTCAATCGAAGCCCTCCATGCACAGGCTGCAGCACTTGGTGAAGATTCTCGGAATTCTCCAGAGGTTCAAAAACGGTTATCTTCGATAGACTCACGCTACAAAGAACTACTAGAACTTGCCAAATTGAGAAAACAACGACTTCTCGATGCTTTATCATTGTACAAGTTGTTCTCTGAGGCTGATGGTGTAGAACAATGGATCGGAGAAAAGGATCGCATGCTTGAAACGATGGTTCCAGGCAAAGACATTGAGGATGTCGAAATTATGAAACATAGATACAACGGCTTTGATAAAGAAATGAACTCAAATGCATCAAGAGTCGCTGTAGTTAATCAACTTGCACGTCAATTGCTGCATGTTGAGCACCCGAACTCTGAGCAAATTGTCGCTCGACAGAATAAAGTCAGTGAAAAAAATTATTTAATAATTACTTATGACATGTTTTACGCTTTAGTTTTAAGATATGGCCAAACTAATTGCATCATTAACAATGTATTTTTTGTCTTCTAGCTCAATCACGAATGGGCAGAGCTCAGGGAAAAAGCCGAAACTAAGAGAGAAGAGCTCAATTCGGCTCATGGCGTTTCAACGTTCCACATCGAATGCAGGGAGACAGTCAGTTGGATCGAAGACAAGAAGAGGATTCTTCAGTCTACAGATTCTCTTGAAATGGACTTGACAGGAATCATGACTCTCCAAAGGAGGTTGAGTGGAATGGAAAGGGATCTCGCTGCCATCCAGACTAAGCTAGACTCCCTCAAAACAGAATCAGATGCAATTTCCAATATGCACCCAGAAGAAAGTGCATTTATAAAAGAAAAAATTAAGACAATACAGACCATCTGGGAAGAGCTTACTCTCATGGTACTTTTTAAATACAAATGTTCAATAACACACAATATACAACTATTGTTTTTCAGTTAAAAGAAAGGGATGCAAAACTGGAAGAAGCAGGAGATCTTCACAGGTTCCTCAGAGACTTGGACCACTTCCAATCATGGCTTCAGAAAACACAGACGGACATTGCCTCTGAGGACATCCCAGGCTCTCTCGCCGATGCTGAGAAGCTTTTGAGCCAGCACCAAGCCATTAAGGAAGAAATAGACAATTACACTGGAGACTTTACACAGATGATGGAGTACGGGGAACGAGTCACGGCTGTAAGATGATAACTCTTAAGTTTATGGTTATGTGACAGTGCTTGACATATTTTTTTTTAGGATCCGTCATCACAATCAGACCCGCAATACATGTTCTTGCGAGAGCGTCTCAAGGCTCTTAAAGACGGGTGGCTTGAGTTGCACCAGATGTGGGAGAACCGGCAGGAGCTTCTCTCGCATTGGCTTAATCTACAAATGTTCAACCGAGATGCGAGGCAAGCCGAGGTCCTACTCTCCCATCAAGAGCATGTATTGGCCAAAGATGATACACCGATCAATTTAGAGCAGGCCGAAAATTTTATCAAACGACACGAAGCCTTCTTGACCACAATGGAGGCAAACGACGAAAAGATCAATGCTGTCGTGCAGTTTGCAGGGCAGCTTAACAACGAAGGCCATTTTGCAGGTAATTAAACTGACATTTTCAAAGCCTGATAATTTTTATAATTTGGAACTTGCATTTTAATTTTTCTTTTCTTTACAGCCGATAAAGTAACAAAGAAGGCAGAGAATATTGAAGAGAGACGTAATAATAACAAAGTTAAAGCCCAACAGCAAATGGACAAACTGAAAGACCAACTTGAACTACATCAATTCCTACAGGTCACTTAATTTTTTTTCTTCTTCTGTAAATCGATAGTTTTAAAGTTTATCTTTGCAGGATTGTGATGAATTGAGCGAATGGATTCAAGAAAAGAAGTATATATCACAAGATGAATCTTACAGGAGTGCTAAAACAGTTCACTCTAAGTGGACGCGTCACCAAGCGTTTGAAGCCGAGATTGCCTCAAATAAGGATCGTTTAGTGCGAGTCCAGCAGGCTGGAAAAGAATTAATGAAAGAAAAGCCAGAATTGGCTGAGATTGTATCTCCGAAGATCACGGACCTTTCAGAACAGTTCTCTACACTCGAGAAAATGACCAAGGACAAGGGAGAGCAATTGTTCGACGCCAACCGTGAGGTCTTGATCCACCAGACCTGCGATGACATCGATTCGTGGATGAACGAACTCGAAAAGCAGATAGAGAACCCAGATGTGGGCAACGACCTGGCTTCAGTTAATATTTTAATGCAAAAACAACAAATGATAGAGACACAAATGGCTGTCAAGGCGAAACAAGTATCTGAGCTTGAAACCCAGGCCGAGTACCTTGAAAAGACAGTGCCTGAAAAGATGGGACCGATCAAAGAAAAGAAAGTTGCTGTTGAGGAACGGTTCCAAAATCTCATGGAACCGCTTAAAAAACGTCAGAGGCAACTGGAAAAAAACAAGGAAGCTTTCCAGGTAATATTTTATATATTAATGAGATGGGGTGTGTATTATATATTATTTTCTTCATGTTGGCTGTTTTTCTCTTTAGTTCCGCAGAGATGTGGAAGATGAAAAATTATGGATAGCGGAGAAAGTTCCATTGGCAATGTCGACAGATTACGGAAACAGTTTGTTCAATGTACACACACTTAAAAAAAAGAATCAGGTGAATTATTTATATACTTTTCCCCCATTCTATCGGATTTTTCTGTAATTGGTAGTTAATGTATTCATTTTTGCTTAATTATTGTTTTAGTCTCTAAGAACAGAAATTGAAAACCACGAACCTCGGCTTCATGCAGTTCTTAGGAATGGCGAGAAACTTGTAGAGGAGGGCAACGAGGAGGCTCCACAGTTCAGAAAACTCATGGACGAGTTGCTCGACAGGTGGAACTACCTCAAGAATGCTGTGAAGCACCGGAAAAACCAATTGCTCCACTCAGAAAATGCGCAGCAATACCTGTTCGATGCTAATGAAGCTGTCAGTTGGATGTCAGAACAGGAGCTGTACATGATGGTCGACGACAGGGGAAAGGATGAAATCTCGGCACAGAACCTTATGAAAAAGCACGAATGCCTTGAGAGAGCTGTCGATGAGTATGCCGACACCATCAGGCAACTCGGTGAAACTGCCAGATCTCTGGCTTCTGATCACAATCCCCTTAGGTACACAAAATTCATTCATGTAATTTAGTAGTATTTTACTGTCCTTTACCTTTATAATAATTGAAAATAGTATACCTGCTAAATATAGCAATACTAAGAGCAAATTACTATAAATTAACCAAACTATATAAACTAATACAAACCAAAGAAAAAGATGATTGCAGATGTGTTCATAGTACTGAGTAGATTATATTACTTTCAGTGATCAGATTGGTGTAAAGCAGTCACAAGTCGATAAGCTTTATGCCGGTCTTAAAGATCTGGCTGGTGAACGACGAGGCAAGCTAGATGAAGCTCTCCAACTGTTCATGCTAAATAGGGAAGTTGAGGATTTGGAGCAATGGATTGCAGAACGTGAAGTTGTTGCTGGCTCACACGAGCTTGGACAGGATTATGACCATGTCACCGTAAGTCAATATTTATTGTGAAGCAGTTTCTCGTGTATTAATGTGCATGGATTGTAGCTCCTCTGGGAGAGGTTCAAAGAATTTGCAAGGGAAACAGAAGTCACTGGTGCTGAACGGGTAGCTTCTGTCAATGCCATTGCAGACGATCTCATCGAAAAGGGCCACAGTGACTCCGCCACCATCGCCGAATGGAAGGACGGCCTGACCGAATCATGGCAAGACTTACTTGAGCTCATCACAACTAGAACACAGGTACCCCAATCAATTCCACCGAACGATTACAATGTTAAAATGGTATATTTTAACAGATGCTCGAAGCCTCAAGGGAGTTGCACAAGTTCTTCCATGATTGTAAAGATGTCCTTGGCCGGATATCTGAGAAACAACACGGGATATCGGATGAACTGGGTCGGGATGCCGGGAGCGTGTCTACCCTGCAGCGCAAGCACCTTAATTTTATCCAGGACTTGCAGACACTACAATCGCAGGTTCAGGGAATCACCGATGAGTCGAGCAAACTGCAGGCTTCATATGCAGGTGACAAAGCCAAAGAAATCACCAATCGAGAAGGCGAGGTCGTCAGTGCCTGGGCCGGTTTACAGGCTATGTGTGAAGCCCGCAGTGCAAAGCTTGCCGATACCGGGGACCTATTTAAATTCTTTAACATGGTCCGCACTCTCATCCTTTGGATGGACGATGTTGTGCGTCAGATGAACACCACAGAAAAACCAAGGTCTGTATTAAAAAAATTTCAATATTGGCCAATACCAAATCAAACAACTTATTGTATTTAATTTTTAGGGATGTGAGTGGTGTAGAACTTCTTATGAACAACCATCAAAGCTTGAAAGCGGAAATTGATACTAGGGAAGATAATTTTAGCGCTTGTATTTCATTAGGGAAAGAATTGCTATCCAGAAACCACTATGCATCAAATGAGGTACTTTTCTTTTCAGTTTTTAGTTTGTATGTTATGATATAAAGCAGAACAGCAGATCTCAAAATTTTTCAGTTTCCAGTGCCCATGATATATCAGAATTTTTCTGCGGCACCCCATGTCAAAACAATGGTCTATCTCAGGGAAAAAAATGGTCATATTATGTTAATAGTAGTTTTTCTTAATTTCCATTCAAAAAATATACCTCTTATGTTGACTGTAATTTTATTTAATAAATAATCAAAAGTCCTGATTTTCTTTTGAAATAAAAAAAAAAAAATTGCATGACATGTGATGTGCCAGAAAGTATCAAATCACATCGTGTTGAGTAGTGACCTTTCTTGCTGGAAGGGTAATCCTCAATGCTCTATGGGGAGCTAATTCACCTAAAATTGAAATTAACTGAAGGGGTAATAAACAATGCAATACTAAACCGAAAATGTACCTTCTATTGCGACATTGAAAATTACTTTGAGTTGGGTAACAAATAAAAATGAAAAGTTATACAATTAAAGTAAGAAGAAAAATTATAAAATTCAAGAGTTCTCGCAACTTAAAACTAACAGAGCTACGTATCAACAAAGAAAAAATACAACTAAAATTTATTATTTTAAATTATAAATTAAATTAATTTTGGGAATAATCAAATAGCAAAATAAAGGGTTTGTTGATGGGCGGACTAGGCTGCAGGCGATAGTTATTGATACCCGTCTTGGTGTCAGGTTGTCCTGGCAACAGGTCAGCAAAAGTGGTAGTGGTGTAGGTACCTTGGTGCTTCCAGCAGCGTACGTCAGAAATGGTCACTTTTCCCCTGGTCGGGCTGTGGTAAGGTTGGCGGAGCAGGTCTCCATCATAAATCATAAATGGTGTGGCTCAGGCGAAGACAGGAGAAAAAAAAACCACTTCTCTTGTTACGGCTGGTGGAACACCGCCTTTTGTGGACCTCTCACCAATAGATTACCGATCATCCTATCACTCTACTAATCCTCCATCATCAACAAATAAATTAAATGAAACTTTCCTCGAGTCCGAATAAAATTAACATCTTACTCGAGATCACTAAAATAAATCTCCTGGTGGTGTCAACACATTGTTTTATTCTGTCCAGAGTTTGAAAAGGAGGGAAAGATATTTATTGTCCGATTAACTCATTAGAAGAGGGTGGCAAACATTTCAGTTTGGAGAGTTTTGGCTATGAGAGGCGAACAACCATACAAATTATAGGTTTCTTCAGGATTGTGATAGAGAGCTCGAAGCCTTGCATGTAGTGTGTAGGGCTGGGGTCGGTCAGTGTGTCTTGGGGGGAATGTCCCTGCGTTCTGAGTAGTGAGGGAGATTCGAACTTTTCCAGGAGCACGTAATGCTATGTAAGGTTTTTATCTACATATCCATGATATGCCTGACAAGGGAATGAGTTTTCCACTATAGGGATATATGATTGATTTTATGAATGGGCTGTCCTCCTCGTTGGCAATACCAAGTGGCTTGGCTCTCTTAGCGGGTGGGGGTTTTGGCTGTTTGAGGGGCTCAACGTACTTTTAAAAAAATTGTTGTTGTGCCCAAGTAGCAAAGTTTGTAAATCACTGAAGTAGGATCCAATATTAAAAAAATGTAATCATTAATTAAATTACTTTCAAAATATTTAACAAAGTACATCTTACCTCATAAAAACAATTCATTTTAAGTGTGTAGCATAATGTCTAATATAAAAAGATTGTCGTAACAAACTTTTTATTTATATATATATTTTTTTTTAGATCAAAGAAAAATTGGTGTCGTTAAACAATCAACGTAACTCACTTCTTCATAGATGGTCTGAAAGATGGGATAACCTGCAACTCAGTAAGTAAAGATTAAGGGAGTTTTTAAACATTTTTACAAAGTACGAAGTTAATGGTTTTTTTTGTAAGTCCTCGAGGTTTACCAGTTTGCGAGGGATGCTGCAGTCGCAGAAGCGTGGATTGTTGCGCAGGAACCATACCTTATGAGCATGGAACTTGGGGTAAGTTCTATCTTGTTAAATATATCCTTTCCAAAATAGATCTGTTCAGATTTAACCTTTTCATTTCATAAATATGCATTGATTATGTATTAACATGTTAAATTTGTAGCATACTATTCACGAGGTAGAGAAACTGATTAAAAAACACGAGTCGTTTGAGAAGTCTGCGATAGCCCAAGAAGACAGGTTTAGTGCTCTTGAAAGACTAACTACGGTAACGTTTTATTGTACATCTGGGATTCCGGTTATGCTATTTTCACTTTTTTTCTCTTGTTTCAGTATGAGCTCAAGGAACTGAAGAGGAAGGATGACGAAGAAAGGAGGAAACGAGAAGAGGAAGCTGCCAAATTGGCTGCAACTCCACCGTCCTCACCCCCTCATGTAGCTGCCGATGGGTAAATCTATATATTTTGATTTTGATTTTTTGCAATTGGCTAATCCTTAAAATTTCAGCACTGATGGCACAGAGACTCCAGCTGCAGCGACTGAACCCGAGGCCAGGAAGGGTAAGCGTTTAACGTTTTTGATTGTACGACACTTTCCTCTTCACATTTTGTGCAGCTGAGAGTGTCTTGGAGTTCTATGTGTATAATGTTTTACATGTATTTTTATGTGTGTTCACTAAAAGTCCATTTCTTCATAACATCTATTCAAAAATTCATCAAGAAATTTTTCTTCGACAAAAAGCACAACTGTTCATTTCATAGCATGTTTTCCTGTACTTAATCCTTCAGGGGGTTGGGAATATACTGTGGAATTATTATTTTTAACTAACTTGTCGGAAAATGGGATTTGAAAGCATGCATGACTTAAAAGACTAACCATAAATTGTTTTAAAAAACAAAAAAGTGAATTTGTGTTTGTCTTGTCTTCTCTAGTCCACTTTGTGTGGTTTTTTGTTTTGTTTTTTTCTCTCTATTCCATTTTGTTTTGTGTTTCCAAGCATCAGTACGCAAGCCGCCAACACAACTAGATATAACTCCGATCGAAAAGCCAACAGGTTAGAAAATTCATTGAAATCGAAATTAATTTTTTTTAAGTATAGGAAACATTAGATTTTTTCCTTTAATTATGTGAAATTGGCAAAAAAAAAAAATATATATAGTTGGATATTAGAACGGTATTTAGATTTTTATTAATATTTAAGTATTATGAATTATTTGGAGTAAAAAGCAAATTTATTTTAATTTTTTAAACAACAATAAAATTTAGAAGGCTGCACACATAAATTCATGCTTATGTTTTATTCTTGCACGCTTCTGTTTTGTATAGTCATGTGTCAAGCGTATCGGGTGTAAAACAAGCTTGCCTGGTGAAAGGTAGGTCTAAGGAATAATCACCCAGGAATCCATAAACTGCATGTTTTTTCTTTTCTGCATGATTAGACATGATACATGAAGCTCTTGAAGAATTGAAGGCACCTCCACCCACTCCGACAAACAGGCTTCCGACAAAAGGGAAAACACAGGACCTAAATTCGACGGTCACTGATTCCTCAGCACCTTCTTCTTCAATAAGTAAAACAGGCCAATCTCCAGCATCCTCTCCAACTGGTAAAACGTCCCTGGCAAGGGTTTCAGGTATAATGGATTATTTCTATATGGATGTTAGTGGTAGTAGAACTTAAAGTAATAAATCCTTCCCTGCTATATAATTAATCAAGTTTTGATTTTAAGGTAAAACAAGGTTAATTTTTGCATAAATCAAAGAAACTTGAAGTACAATATACAAGTTGTATAAATTATAAATGCAATTCTTCCCTTTGTAATGTTACGTCGGCAGGAAATTATAAAGAACTTGAAAAATTATATCCATAGATGAAAAGTTAGATATACATTGTCATTTGTTGTTCCTTGTCAAAAATAATTTGTTGAAGTCATGAGGAGCTGTAAAGAATGAGGTAGTTTAGAAAAAACTTTTCATTTTTTTGCCAATGTTTCGACTTTTATTTGGTTCAACTCCAGGATAAAAGTGTGGTACCATTCTTGTAGTGTCATATCGGGTTTTATGAGTGTTATTTGATTGATAACACTTTCCCGCAAAACCAATATGACACCACAAGAATAGTACCACACTTTATGCTCTGAAGATGGCTCAAATAAAGGTCGAAATGTCGGGGAAAAAATGAAAAAGTGTTGGTTTTTTAAATTACCTAGTTCTTGACCGCTCCTCACGACTTAACAAATTATGAAGCAACAGGTCACTAAGAGACATACTTGCCCAAAAGGTTTGTTAATCAAAGCATAAAAACATAAGGAATCTGCCTACATGCTTCAGCTGGCACTTGTCTCAACCAATAGACAGTTTCTTTGTGCAGATCATATTTGTACAAGATGTCACTGTTGATAGCGATTTGACCATTCATTTTTACTACTACCAAAAAATAATTTTAATTTTTTTAAAAATATATACATCAACAATGAACATCAAATTTAGGCAAAGTTGTACTACAACATATAAGATATATTAACATCGAAGCATTATCTATTTTTATTAACCGAATTAATGTTCTACTACTACTTTTAACATCACTTCTGCATTTGCAACAACCACAAAAATTAATAATCCTAAGTGAAATTAAAACAATAATGGGGGAGCATGTTGGAGCAAGGTAAGAATTATCAGACTAACATCAAAATACCAAGTGAACACACAGTATCAACATTTAGGCAACGGTTTTGGGCAATTGAATTGAATTTCTAGCTCAATCGAGCCAGAGGGACAGCGGCCAGGACATCAAAGCACCTGGGAGTGCTTCATCAGGGCGGAAGAAACGTTCGCGCTCAAAATCGCCGTTCAGAAGCTTCCGTTGGAAAAAGGGCAGCAGTGAGGGTACCAGCTCAGCCAGGGGGGGCAGTGATGATGAAAGCTATCTCCCTGGTGAGTAAACAGCGTAAACCAGTCTATTTGGGGTTACGGTGAAGGGCTCTTACAAATAGTATAATACAAAATCCATTATTATCCTCTTCAGACCACGATGTACCAAAACAACTTGTTTAAAATATAATGCACTTAATTCAACAGATCTTTAAGCTCAAAGAGATCCTCAGTATTAAGACTTTTATTAATAAGTATGCTGAAAATTTTAGAAAAGACAACGTACTTGTTTACAACAATTAACAAATTATACCAGTTATTTCAGAAATCTAATTTCTGAGATCTGCGTTTCAATTTTCTTGTTCTTAAACTAAAAGGGAGTTAATACGTCATCCCCACTATAAAAATATTTTATTTTTTTATTTTCACGTACGGTTTCAGTGCCACCACTTACATTTTTGTTAAAACTAGTTTGGGCTCAAAGTGAACACTTAAAAGTTTTCTTTTGTCATCTTTCGTCTTTTTGTCAGCCAGTCTTCTATATAATTTAGCATACAAATCATTATCAAATTGAAGTTGGAAATTGTAACTTTTTTATGTTACACAATTACAATTATAAAACTAAAGCTGTAGTATAATAAATTTAATCCCTACCGATCATTTTGGTCAGCCTATCCTTGATAGGTTGGCTTGCCAGGCATGCCTTGGCATCTCGCCATCTTCAGCATTTTATTAACATTCATTTTGCCATATTTTATGGTGCTGCATTGCTCAGGCTTGTTCATTTAACTATATAATCACTTCTTTTTGTAAATCTCCATCATTTGAACCTTGTCCAGAACAGCTTCAACCTTATTTTACTGCCCATATATGTTGGATTTTTGGGTTATTTTTTTTTTTTTAGAAAACCTGAAGAAGAAAAAATAAAGTAAATTAGTACATTCTAATACACACATTATTTTCTTTACTTACTTAGAACAGTAGACTTTCTACATTCATTATCTGCAGGGGATACTTACAAGCATCGCTGCGGATAATATTCAAACACCTCGAATTTCAGGATTTGAAGAATTTTCTTCTATTTGCATACCAATCAGGCACTTTCTGATCATTACATAGTTAATGTTATCTATGCGTCTATGTCATCAAAACGAAGGGGAAAAATATTAGGGGCCTAAGAAAGATTTAAATTTCACAGTTAGAAGTAGATAGTGATCAATTGGTGAAGTTTAGTTGATTGCTTTGTCTGGTTTTTCAATTGCTGTTAGAAATTTTGTTGGAGAGGGTTCTACCTTGAGTTAACAGAGATGTTAAATTGATGATTCATTCTACTATTGGCTCATATTCTATGATTTTTGTCTTTCAACTTTTGAGCGAATCGAAAGATTTCTACAAAAAAATTTATTGTCCATTCCTGTTTTTCTTCTATTTTATCCTCTTCTTCATCTTCTGTGGTTGATCTCTAGAATTAAACTAGGGAGTGCAAGCTTAGATAATGAAAGTCTACTGTATGTATGAAATGTGGTAAAAGAGACGTACTGTTTATTATAGATTATGTAGATAGGATTTTCATCTTATATTGTATTTTATTTAGTTTTACACCATATTAAATTAGTACTTACTGCTTATTCCAAATTTGACTTTACATCAGCAAGTGAATAACAATTTCTCTAAGGTAAGTGAGTCAAAAATAGAATATATGTTTGATCAGCGATGCTGAGACCAAAGTGAGTACAATTGCTAAAAAATTAAAAAAAAACAGGAGACTGAAATACTAAATGTTGTTTGTCCTTGCAGTTTAACTTTATCATTTTAGAATGAAAAGCAATGCGCCTGACAGACTGGTTGTCACATACCTCCTGGTTCATTTAACCTGGAGATAAGAAGTGAAATAAGTTTGACATAAGAAAAACTCTTTTCGTTGTAGTAATATTGCATGAGTGTCTCCCATATTTGATGTTATACAATTTCGTTTTCTTTACTATGGCATGCCGACATTATTCGTTTTTGAAGATATCTATTAGAAGTGTCTCTTATATTTTATTTTAACAATTATTGTTATTGATTTGGTTTTATATGTTTGAATACAGAGAGGACAAGCCCTGCTGACGGTGAGGTGCACATTGAAGGGAACCTTGTCAGGAAGCACGTATGGGACTTCCTGAGAAAAGCGTCAAATCGGTAAATATTCATTTTTAAGTATAGACAACACGCCGCGGTCGTGGGTTCGATTCCCACCGTCGCCTCTGGCCCTTTTTTCCCGATAACCCCCAATTTGAACACAAAGAATTCGTACCATGGCTAATATGCAAGATCATAAGGCCAATAAAAAAAAAAAAAAAAAGTATAGACAACTGTTTTCTAATTTATTGTTTACATTCGACAGGTCATGGCAAAATGTGTATGTCGTGGCAAAAGGATCACAGCTCCTCGTATATAAAGACGCGAGATCAGCAAGGTCAGCACCTGAGACTTATTATAAAGGAGAATCCCCCATCGACCTCCGTGGAGCTACTGTCGATGTGGCGACTGATTACACTAAGAAGAAACACGTTTTTAAAGTCAAGTGGGTATTTGAATTTCCCTTGAAATGTATTACAATTTACTAAATCAAATTATTTTCGTCAGACTGTCGAACGAATCGGAGTATCTTCTCCAAGCCAAAGACGATGAGGAAATGAGGCGATGGGTGACATCGCTCAGCGCTGCTACAGAGGCGACCGGCGCTTCGTCCAAGTCGAGGACTCTCCCTGCCCAAGCTGTCGAAAAAGGTCCCGACACAAAGAAACGCTCTTTCTTCACACTGAAACACTCGTAAGTTTTCTCTTGATAAAAGTAAATACTGTCGATACAAACTGATATTAAAATTAGTAGATATATATTTTTTATCTTGTGTATTATATTCAATAGAAAAAGACAACCAAATAAATTTGCATAAAATTTTATTTAAATCGATTACGGGGTGCTAAGTATATAGTGTCTAGCTCCAAGGTGCTCACTAAACTTTTAGTGCTCCATGAAACCTGGACTTATTTAAGTTCAATTAACTCAAAATTACATTCAACCATATTTAAATACAATTAATGTGAAACTGCACTCTTCCAAAAGGAATAAATAGTTTTAATTCTTCTTGAGGAAATAAATCGTGTTGTATTTTAGTTATTATGACAAATAAAAGTAATGATGTTATTTATTAATATTTAATTTTATTAATTCATTAATTAATTTTGCCAGTGGGTGAACATAATTCTGACGTGGAGGATAATACTAATCATGTATGTTTTACTTACTCTATGCTTTTCTATTGATTTATTTTGATACATCTTCAGAGATTTTTTGTTTTGTTATTATTTTATTGAAACTCCGATTTAAACCCTTGCAAGCAAATAAATTTACAAAACCCACTGCCACCCTTTATTTTTTGTGCGAATGGACATTTCAATAATTAGCAACATTCTTGGATGGTTGTCACGTAAGATAAACTATAAAAAAATTACAGTAGACTCTCGTTATCCGCACTTGCAGTCATCCCCCAAAGTTTTTTAAAATCGTTTTTAGTCCCCTAATATTTTCTCGTGTGTTTCGATATCCTGCGTGGGTGCATATCTGTTATGTACATACTTATGAGGTTTGTTCCATCGTGCATCCAAATCATCAGCAAATAGGCATGTGCAGTTGAGTTTCAGAGTTCCATCATGCTCCAAACCCAAACTACAACTGTCAATCGGCCTTTTAGACCAGGTTTGTGTCTGGTTTTCGACCGTCAAAACAGTCCGACGATTTTACTAAGAACTGGCACTCAGAGGCATGTTCTTTCACTCTTATCAAATCGCGTTCTGATTCAACTAGGGACTGGATTTATATATTAAATAAAATATAAATATACACAAGAATGGTATTCATTCTTTGAACAAATACATAAAAATGTTTTTCTATTATTTTTTATTTTTATGTTTTTGTAAATTAAAATCACTTGTCCAATTACATACAAAGAGTTTTACATTAGTGCATCTATAGAAATATTTCTCATCTAACAATTTGAGACATCAGATTGACAACTTGGTTTTATGACCACCCTAACCATCCCCAAACTTGGTTTTATCACAATATTCACTAGGGGAGAAATTGTTACTATAAATAACATTATAATTTAAAATAAATTATTCAAACTATATCACAGATATTACACTATTTCACATGTCTTCTTGTAGCATACGTGGCTTCAGACATATTGCCTTTTTTCCTCCTTGTTTGAAGTGGACAGCACCTTTGACTTTACTAAGTCCGGAATGGAACTTGTTGAATCGCTCGTGAATTTTCTCTTATATAGTCAAGAGTTGTAGTTCTTTGTTTATCTGGTTGTTACTTACATAACACTCGGCATTTATTGCCATTCGCGCTATTTTATTTTGTAATATTTGCAGCTGCTTTATTCTGGAGGAAGACGCTGCTCCCCTATGTGGTACTTCCATGATAGCGTTCTGACCAGATGAACTCTTAGGTTCTTCACAGAGCTGTCAGGAGGGGGATGTCATTTCTTTCAATTTGTAAGGCTGGTAGGTCACAAGGCAATGATTTGTGCTTGGTCACAATAGTTTGATATATCCTCTAAAGCATCCTGAACCACTTTTTGAGTCTCTAGGATATCACAATTGTAGGTATATATGGCTGTCGTCTGTGTAACAAATAAATCTTCATTATGGGGTTAAAAATTTTAAAATGTTACAATTTTGAGCACACAATTTAACATACCTAGGAAGGCCAGGGGACCCAGATTTCGCTGGGCTGATCACCATTATAAAATAATAGACACATTGAATAAATATACACCCAGGTGTGAAAAAAGGCTTTTTAAGATAATGGTTTAATAACTTGTTATATACTTAATGTTTTTTATTGATTTATCACTATTATTTATCAGAGATAATACCACTATTTCAACATAATTTTGATTTTGTTTGTTTTTTATGGGGATTAAAGAGAGAAATGAGACAATAAACTCTTATAAGTTTATTACGATCCCCCATAGACATGAAACATGGCTTGACCTCTGTCTCTTTGTTTATTGCTTTCTTTCAATGAAAAATAATGTCTAACATTTTTTTAACATTACAATGAATTTAACCCCCGAGCAGTGGTGTTGTTGGAATAAGGAAGAAGTTACTGGTACATTGCAGGCATGTTACAATGTAGTCCCCCCCCCAACTATGGTACTTAGGATTGTGTAGCACTATAGGGAGGTATAACTGCAGCAGACCAGGTTCAGGCAGAGGAAGAATGAGGTTCAAGATCGTTTCGTAGTACTGGGAACACTTCGAGACGGTTTTCAAACTGCAGTAAGATCAACTCCTTCGCGAAGTTCATGGAGTCCAGATGAGCAAATGGACTGTACAAAAAGCTTGAGGGAACTGCCAGTGGTTCTGAACTTCTCACACAGACCGAACAGCACAACTTAAGTTTGCTCATGGACACCTCAATTGGACAGTAGAAAAGTCTCAGATGAGTACCGTTTCTGCCTTTGGTCGCCAGATGGATGGGAAAGTGTTGGAGAAAGATTTACCCTTGCAATTTTTCTCCTAGTCTCGTTAAGGGTATGGGGGCCATATATATGGAACAACATTACTTGCATCAGATCCTGGCAGTTCATGTTGTAAGATCGTCCAAAATTTCAGCGAAAACTGTGTTTATGGATGATAATGCAAGACCGCCCAGAGCTTGATGCATGATACATGAAGTCAGGGAATAAGCAGGATGGAGTGGCCAGCTCAGACACCCAATTGAAGACGTCTAGAAAACTGAGTTAGTGCAAGGGTCAGTCACCGTTCCGGATAATCTCAATCAGCTGAGACGTGCCCTTCTTGAAGAGTGGGAACAAATCAGCCAAGAAGATATTCAACGCCTCATCATGGCTTGTCATCCATGCCAAAGGAGGCAATACCCCTCATATTGATTTTGTTTTTTAATTTTTTACCTTTTTTCTAACATTTTACATTATCCATATGAAAAAAGCTTAAATCTTTATCAAAATAGTGGTACTATACCTCAGAAAATGATATATGGAAAAAAATAAATTATTAGGTCAATATCTCAAATGTAAATCAACAAAAAGTCTGTTTACAATTTCCAACGTTTCAATATTTCCCATGTAAACCGTCTGACACTGAAATAGGAAAAATAGCGTACCATCAGAGGTTAGGAATCTGTGATCAGTCAACGTTTGGGCATAATTTACGGCTTAGTTGGCAACTGTTTTGTGATTGTGTGATGGAACAAACCTATTGTTTTCCTCTTTGAAATAAACTATGTACGTTACTGTGCATTGTATGTTTCTTAATTGAAAAAACCCTGAAATATGTGTATTTAAATTCATACATAACATTTACGATACAGAAAATGTTCTGATTGGTTTGCAGATAGAAAAAATGCTTTGAAGCTTGAAATTCGGGATATTTCCTATTATTCGCGGTATTGCTCAGTATGTATCCCTAACAGATAATGAGAATCTACTGTAGTGCCTTCTTCAAATTAAATATTAAAAAGTTGTAAATGAACTGATTATAAATTACAGTTTGCCTTTGTTTTTCATTGTTACTTGATTCATCTTTTAAAAGTGTAAATGTGTTATCACGAACAAAATAATTTAAAAGTTTTTTGTTCTCAAAAGTTGTAATGTTTGCTTTTGATGTAATTTGGCTTTCTCATCATTCGCCGACACGATATTGTTTTAACTGGTTTTATTACTCACAGTTGTGCAGTGTGTTCTTTTCTAAACCACAATTTTTGTCTAAATATGTATGCATTTTAATTGGTTTTTATTTTTGTTTCAGATAAATTATTGAGAATTCACACTATTTTCTTTATGAGATTGTATTCTCTTGGAAGAAAAGGATTCCACTGATAAGATTTTTAATTTATTAAAAAAAAAAATTGGACCTTCTATAGATATATAAATATTAAAATTAAAAATTGAAGAGAAAACAACCAATGAGAAGATACAAAATAAGTTCCAGCCTTCTTTTTATTTTTATGAATCGATAAAAAAATATATATTATAATAAATGCAATTTACTGCCTGTTTTTAATTTTTAGGGGGATTTTTTAATTTTATTTTTGATTTATTGATTAATTTTACATTTTTATGACAAGGAAGGTTCAGAACCGGATTTGTTTGCCCCCGCTGTAGTTTTAAAGTTAAGGCTTTTTTCAATTAAGTAACTTACTGCTTTTTATTTCTTTTATTTTGATAACCACATCAGGTAATTAAAAATAAATTAATTTCTATGATTGAATATGGAAAAATGTTATTTTAAAAAAGTGCTTAGGACATTTTGTATATTTGTGACTTGAGGACGTTTTTCAATACGCTTGCTTTTTATTATTATATATTATATCCTGTGCTGTAAACCACTTTGAAAAGGGATTAACAAAAAAAAGAAATAGTTTATTCTAACATTGGTTTTTTGTTTGTTTTAATTTTTATTTTACAATTTTTTTTCCCTTTAAATGTAAAATTCCCTTTGAAAGGATTCACTTGTTAAATAAATGTAAGAAATTAAATTTACTATAAGAAATATTAGCACAATCAACATAGCAATCGCTTTTCAATTAATAAGCGCTACAGGTAAGAAATTCCAAAGTGTGTCTCAAAACAATTTAAAAAAAACAATCTTGTCAAATTATTTATATTTATATTATTTTATTGATTTTATTATTATTATTTACAAAATTATTTACGTACTGTTTGTTCAATTAAATAAAATTACACAATGTTTACTTATTTTTATTTTCCTTTTATTTTATTTATTTATTTGTTTGTTAATATTAGTTTTTGAAACAAGCGTAAGTTGTGAGAGGCTAGTTATCATATTCATAAACATAAAATAGTTGTAAAGAGAAATTTATATTATTAGTTTTTAAGTAATATTGAATTATTCTAAGATTTATTTTTGAAATTAACATAAAAGAATTTGATAGTTGAACTTCTGCTCTTGACATGAAATCATCAGATAAGTGGTCAAGTTGAACATATTTTAGGGAGAATTTTATATAGAGAAATTTATTCCATCGGAGGAAAGAACAGGCGTACTTTAGTAGGCAAACTACTTATATTTGAATTAAAACGATTGAGGTTAAATAAATCGCCTTCACTTTAACAAATGTCACAAACTTTCAACAATAATCTCTTGTTCAATAAGATAATTAAGGTACACAAAAGATTTGGCTTTCAAATGAAAAAAATAAAGGTTTAAAAAATATATTCTGCTTTTGTTACTCTTATTTCTTAACATTCCCGACCACCTTCAGAACTTCAGTCCACACACAGTTAACATGGGTTTTACAGAAAAAATGAAAAAAAGGTATTTCATTTGTTGAAAATGGTTTCCTAACAAACCACCATCATTTTTCCCGGTGCATAGAATGACTCATGTCTTGGCATGAGGAAAATGCATGATTTTGGTGAAGAGTGATGTGGCTTTAGTGTTTGTTGGCTTGTTTGTGCAAGAATAGGAAGAAACAATGATGGCTCACAAAACCACTCAGCCACTACAATTTAAAAAAATAGCGCAAATGTAAATTGAAAAATTTGAAGAAAAAATTTACTCTTTTGAAGTTGGCAGATGAATTACATTGCTTTCCATGATACATTTAGCAGGTGATTTAAAATCGCATCTAAAGGATGATTTACAATTCTACATGCTGCTTGATTCAAATATCAGCAATCACCATCTTTAGAAGTTAATAAAAAATAAAAGATGACATTCTTCTAAAAAAGATGTGATTGACAAAATAATCCACAGACACATGGAAGCCATTATGTACAGCATGATCGAAAATAATCAACCCAAAGATTCATAATTTCCCAGACCCTAATTAAATGTATGTTTTTAAATTATTTACAAATATTTTAATTTGTACACATTTGTGTAGGAATGCCACCTTATACGAGAGTCGTGCTTGAGCATAGCAGTGAGTTGCTTGTTCCCCTGTTCTGATTCTTGGAAAATAGACCAAAAAAACGGTTATATATAGCAATGATAGTTTTGTGTCTCTAGTATATATTTATTGGCGTTTATGCAGCAGGAGAGGATCAATGGAAGAATATTGAGTGTCCCATTGACCCCGGACTGACGTAGATGAGTTGTTAAGGCATCAAACTGTTGGTTGGTTGATAGTTGAGGGTTCAATTCCCACCATCACCTCTCAAAGTCTAAGGGGACCAGTGGCCACAATGAAAATTGTCATCGCTCATCAATGTAAGGTCTATGGCGGGATCGGATCTTAGCGAGCATGAATTTGGGCCTGACTGACTTTGAAAATAAGTTTCTTCGAGGAAGAACACCAGCACACTGGGTGGGGTCTCAATTCACATATGTGTTGTGAGCTCCCAAAATGGAGCCAGAAATGAGTTAATCAGGGGAACTACTCCAGTTCCTGGTAGCCCCTCCTTAATTAGGTTAATTATACTAAGATGTAAACCGTGATGGATGAATATTGAATACTCACCCATCCTGAGTGAATAGCATGTAAATAGTAAAGAAAATATTTAAGAGTGAGGAGTGGATGGGTTTGGATTTAAGAATTGATTCCATTGGGGGCTGAAATGGCCTAGCTGTTTATTCTCTTGTTTACAAATATAGTTTCAACAGGCTCATGGCCCAAAAAAGACTACCAAGAGAAAATTATTAGAAGATAATCATTAAAATTACAATTGAAGGTAAACTTCATAAATCATTAAAATTGCAAATAAAGGCAAACGTTAAAATATAGTTTTGAGGTGTTACTTAATTATTAAAAACAAGAGGTCTGTGAACCTGGAGCTAACATTAATAACACGAGGTGTACTGAGTTGCATAGCCTTAGGAACGCTGTTAATAGCTCCTGGAGGCCACCCTTGGTGGGTGGATAGATAAGACCGAGGTCTGACCCAGGGTGGTGATTCTCCAGACCTACCGGTAATTTATCATAAATTACAAAAGCTACCGGTGGACACAAGAAGGTAGGCTGTACATGTGCGTTTTTGCTTTAGCTTATTTAAAACAGTAGCCAGTTTGCAATACTTGGTCAGTAATTCCACAGTGCATTATTAAAAATTCGGAAAAAGTAGTTCTGAAAGTTTTTAATTGCAAATGACATTATTCGCCCTGCCAGTGGCCCAAGATTTCTGTCGCCATGCGGTTGGCCAGAGTTACAAATATGATACTTAATCATTTTAACATGAACAAGCATGTGAAGATGGTTCTTTTTGACGTAAAAAAAAAGCATTCAATTTTGTTTAGCATAAAGGGCTGATTTTTAAATTGCTTAAATATTTAATACATTTAATAAGCAATTCATTCAATGTAATCAATATGGGGTACCGAATCTACCTGACCTATGCCACGGGATACCCGAAGGGATAACCTATTTACATGTCTGACCCTCAAGGAAAAACGGTACGCCCCATTCTGTTCGCCCTGGGCTTGACCTCAGGCAGAAGAAATTTCGGGTGCGTACGTTGAATGTTTCCAAGATCGAAAAGGCCAAGGACGCGGACATCTTATCCAGACGGATCCCCGGAAAAGGAATGCCTCTTAGTAATTGTACATTTCCATATCCCACGGCCTTCCCGCACGCGTTAACCAATCGAATCGCCTCCGGTCATTCCGTTCCTTTTGTTTTACCAGAACTGATGAAACAGCAGATGTAATTCCAATAGTCGGGGTTCAAGGCAAATCATATTCCTACATCCTATTCGGCTGAAGACAGCGGGGCCATGAAGACCGTGACCTGTAGTCGATTTCGACGTTGCCTAGGAAACGACGGAGAACGTATCACATTTACCTTTCTGATTGCAAATTTTCAACAATAAGGAAGAAAGTGATTTTTCCTACATCACGAGTTTCGTATGTTAGCATTGAGCATAGAACTAACCAAAGTCAGAAACATCTACCTTTGTTCATCTATAAAACAACAATAGAATATTCTTAGATTTGTCTTTTCAGTCATCCTAGTCTGCCTACATAAAGCCACAGGTCAAATTTTTTCATTACCCCGGCTCATGGACTCAAATGACGATAATAAAAACTCCATGTTCAAAATTTAACGCACGCTTTAATAATACGTGGTTTTTCTCCGTCCCGGTGTTTTCGACGGGTTTGCACTTCCCGATTGTTCTGGAATAAGGCTGGGTGAGGAGTCCTGTTGCACAGGGTGTCGCAAGGCCGAATCACGACTCACATTTCCCATCTGGGATTCGTTTGGAAAGCCGTGTGGGATGCGGAGTGAAAGAGTAGTGTTTGTTGGTAATTCTAAAAAATTGGCATGCAAAAAATGCACCTTGCTCGCTAAATGGTCAAACAGAATAAACCAACATACACACTACCTCGGATGTTGATTTCTTCTCCTCGTTACATTTTAACTTCCTTGTGTCTTTTCCTAAAATTGTTAAGTTAAACGGTTAACTGAGTTCGAAAGCCTAATTTTTGAGATTTGTAAACTTCTTTCGTTTCTTCTATAGTTCTTTTCAAGCGAAAGTTTCATTATTGTTTAATATATATTTTTCCTATTGTAAAAATATAAATAAAACGTTCATTCGTATTTCTTCTCAAACGTAGGCTGCATTAATTCCTCTAAACAAATAAACAAAAAACATAAAAAGGCCTAGGGATTCGGTATTGAAAGACAACTATTGTAGTGAATTGATGTAAATTACTAATAAGACCCCAAATATCTATCATATGGTTTATAAATCTGGTGGACCAAAGCTCAACAAAAACAAGCTACCCAGAAATCAGGCGACATACAAAGACTATATAGAAAACAACCCCGACGATTGCACTAGAAACACTTCTAAACCTACCTCCATTGGAAATATTTATAAAAGAAGAACCGAGGATAAGCTCATTTATGCTCCAGAAACAATCAAATCCAGACAAATCAACAATTAAAAACTGCACAAGCAAAAAAACATGAGCAATCAAACTCAGGAAAGTACACCTCGATCTTTCAAGCTGAAATTCATTCAGCAACGCTTGTGCCTTAGAAAATCTAGAGGTTACACTGAAAAACAATCATCATAAATTCGGATAGCCAATCAGTCATTACAGCATTAGCAAGTAAAAAATGACATCAACATTTTTTAGTAAGCATCCAAAATCGCCTGGGAAAACACAACAACCTGATGATATCTTTGGTGCCATGACACAAAGGAATTTTGAGTTAAGACAAGCAGACCCGCTGAACAGAGGAGGATCTGCACGACCATATACAGATCATCACAATCAATAAATCCCTTGCAATGTTGTATTAAAAGATTATTGGGAATGATGCGAAGTGGAAAGAATAAATCCGTTCTTTTGTCGAGCTTTCGAGGATTATTCTGCCCTGCTAAGAAGAAAAGTCGTATTTACTGTTTTGATAGTTTTTCAAAATTGGGCTTGGAAGTTTTTCATGCTGAATGGCATTATTTAAGTTACTATATTTTTTTAAAGTTTTTGCCCAAGGACACTAACTTCTCTTTTTTAAAATCCTGAAAGTTTTTTTGTTATTATTTATAACTTATTTATCGATTCACTATTATTTTATGTGTCCTTTTAATAAAAAACGGTTGCTATGTAAAATTTAACGAACAAAGATTTGTGATTATTACTTTTAAAAAGATAATGTATCTGAA